TTCCTAATGTTGCCAACTTGGCGACAAAAGCTGTCGCCAATGCCAGTCAGGAAAGTTTCTGCTTATATCTCGATTTCTAATTGAGCTGTTTTCACAATTTGAACATCGATCGGTTCAGAATTACAGACTATGCTATAGATGAACTAAATGCAATACGTGGCCACATATTCGATTAAATTAAAGTGCACACTAAAATATAAAAAATAATAAAACCAAATAAAAAGGATTTTTAACACAGTAAAAACAGTGAAACGCTTAAATTCAAATCATATGAAGAGTAGATACCCCCAATGCGGCAAAAGGATGCCGCCATGACGTAATAGAACAAAGGATGACGCAACGGGGGCGTGGCCTCCGCCATATTGGATCACGTGACTTCCATCCGCCATGTTGGATCACGTGACGTCCGCCCGCCATATTGGATCACGTGGTGTTCCTTTGGAATGACTCATCCTTTTCCCGCCATGCCGTGCGTGCTGAATCGCCGAGGCATTCATTAATTTTATTCGGTAAGTATTTATGAAGGATTTAATTAATTATTATTTAACTTACCTAATTAATTTATTAATCACGTGGTCTTTGGAGAACATCGGCCATTTTGTTTTGTACGGTGATTTATGCTGCCCTTCATGACAGTTTCAAAAAATTGCGTGGGCCCGAACCCACGATGTCGAGATCTCCAGCTACGCGCTTTAAACCACTGAGCCACGCTTTTGTTACCACAGAAGACTAAAAATTCGTACTTAGAAAAAAAAAAGGCAAAGCGTTCAACGAGTTTACCGATCGAAAAGTTTCTTTTAAACGATGAAAGAGGGGTAGAAGACATATATTTTAATTTCTTAATTTTTTTTCGAACATTGATTACCTTCTTTAAGATATTATAAAGATTATTTTGTGCTTAATTTTTAATTAATATTTTCAATTTATCAAATGAATTTTTTTTCTTCTAAGTGGGTGATATTATTTTCGAATGGAAGAAATTTTTTAAAATTATTTATTATCTGCAGGGAAAGAGTTAAAATGATATTTTTACATCTGTACTGATTTTCTTGAAGCTATGTTACTGCTGGCGCCATCTAGCGTCCAGAACATCATCTAAAAGTAACAGGATCGTAAAAAAAATAATATGAAAATGTAATATATTTCCTTTTCACGGGGTACGAACTCGCTACCACCCAATAATTAATAAAAAGGGATTGAGGGGGACCGCATCCAAGTCTTTAAGCGATACCCCACAATTCCTTGGTTGATATGGTTCTTAATTATCTGCATAAGGTTTTTCCGTGCTCCGCCGCCATCTTGGATTTCCTCTATAGCCGCCATTTTGAAGAATTTTCTTGGTGGGTAAATGACGTCACCCTTATCATGTTTGTGCATGATTTGGTTGGGAAATGGCGTCTGCCTTTTCACTCCCTTTGTGTAGACATCCGCGTAGGTGAACGAATACATTTCTGTGGACCAATCAGAAAGCAGAAAAATGATGTCATGCCCTCTTAACCAATCCGCGTATTCAGACAAAGTAAAAAGTTCGGAGCCGAGTTTCAACCGCTGGATTGCCTCCGAAATTCATTACTTGCTAAATTTTGGAAGTTGTTACCACGCGTTGCTTATTTAGTTTTGTGTTTGCTTTGTTGTACTGTTGTGCATAATGAAACGTCTAGCTGCAAATTCATGTTTATCATCAAAGAAGTTTTGCGGTGCTTCATATGACGAAACTTTGCTGAAGCTTGATTCTTTGCCAAAGAATATGTTTCATCTCGGAGGGGATATTTTTGTCACTGTATCGTGTTTTTTAGGTTTGACTCGTGTTCACGTTCGGAAATATGTGACTGATGACAACGATTTGCTACATCCTAGCAAAGATGGAGTTTCGCTTTCTCCTCTAGTATGGAAAGAATTGAGCGATCATACCAATACATTTGCTTCCTTTGAAGGTTCCGATAGTGTTTTTATTGTGAAGAAAGATGTGTGTGTTTCAAAACAAAATGTCAACGGTGAACTAATTATATCACTACAAAGATTGTTCCAAAGAAAAGATTTACGATTTGAATTTGTACCGGAACGTGTTCTGTTGAGGAAAGAACATTTACGCAAACTGGACTCCATATATAGCGAAATATGTGGTGTCGCGAAGGAAACACTTATTTCTAAAACTCTTAACTATTTTGTGAAAAAGCAGGTGGTTGGTGATACACATTTTGAATTGAATGAATATGCTGGTGATCCAGACCGTCCAAATGGATTTCATGAGCTGCAGGACTCTTTGTGTAAGTGTATTGAAAAATTTATTTCTAAAAAAAATTTCAGAACTTTTTGTGTGTTTTGGTTGCAAACAAGGGATTAATAATCAGCTCGGACATGAATGCTTATCAACAAGCCGTGCTGAAAAATGTGAAACTTATTTTGACCAGGCTTTGTTTACAGTTAATTGGCCTGAGATAGCAAATGACTTCATTCGTGAAAATGAATGTAATATAAATTTTAGTAAACTAATTGTTACTGATGACTTTTTTGATGTTATTAATGTAAATGATGTACTGAATATTATTCAAAATTTATATGTATGTGAAGAAACTAATTTGTTTAAAGATTTACTGAATAGTTCTTTTTGAAAAAATAAAATAAAATATTAGTTTTTATTCACTTTTTTGTATTGCTTTCTTTTTTGTTTCAAAATATTGTTTTGTTTTTTTTTTAAAAAAAATTGTATACTTTTTGAGTGACTCGGCATGAATTTTAATTTTCTAACTAAGAAAATACTAAATAGTTAATATTTTTAAAAAAGATGTTATTAGGATTAGGTGAAGCGGGGTATAAAAAAGTATAAATAAATGTTCACTTTGATTTATCATTTCATTTGGGTAGTGCTTGCCCGAGGATGAACATAACTTTTTCTGTTGATAAAAATTCCTGTTGTAATGTCAGAAATTCTGAATCTGACATATCGGGATCCAGCGCAGCCGGCAAGCTTCGGTGGTATAAATGCTTTACAACGTGTTTCTGGAGTAAAAAGCAAAGAAATCAAAAGATGGTTGCAGGCGAAAGATTCTTATACGCTTCACAGACCTCTGCGGCACAGATTCCAACGCAACCGAGTCATTGTAGGGGGCATCGACGAACAATTTCAGTCTGATTTAGTGGATATGCAATCGCTGGTATCTTTTAATAGTGGTTATAAATATTTACTGACGTGCATAGATATTTTTTCCAAATACGCTTGGGCTATCCCTCTCAAAGATAAAACAGCTGTGTCCATTAAATCTGCTTTCAAAAAGATATTTTCGGAACGTACACCCGAGTCTTTACAGACAGATGCAGGAAAAGAGTTTACCAATAAGCAAGTTCAAAATTTTTTGAAAAAGAAAAATATCCACTTTTTTACGACACACAATAATACAAAAGCTTCTGTCGTGGAACGGTTTAATAGGACCCTTAAAACTAAAATGTGGAAATACTTTACCGAAATGAATACACGAAGGTACATCGATGTTATAGATAAATTGATATCCAGTTATAACAACACATGGCATCGAAGTATTAAGACAGAACCTGCATCGGTTACGCTACAAAATCAAGAAAAAATTTGGAAAACTTTGTACGGTCAGCAATCAGCACAAAAAACCTGTTCCTTCAGATTTAAAGATTGGAGACACGGTACGCATCAGCCGCGAAAAAAATGCTCTTCGAGAAAGGATACGAACAAAATTGGACAAGAGAAATTTTTACAATCCATAAAATAATTCGTCGAAATCCTATCGTCTATAAATTAAGAGATTTAGCGGGAGAAGATATACAAGGAACCTTCTATAAACAAGAATTACAAAAAGTAGCGGACTGTGGGTACTATCCTGTCGAAAAGGTACTGAAGACAAGAAAGCATTGGGGAAAATCAGAATACTTTGTTAAATTTCAGGGTTACCCTGAAAAATTTAATACTTGGGTTTCAAATTTGAAAATGATATAAAAACATGCGTACTGTATTTTACTTTTCATTTGAGCGAAAATGTCCTTCTACGTAACACTCATAAGCGATAGCTCTAGGAGATTTTTTCCAGACAATAAAATTTCTCGATTTATTACCCAACTACCGTCTCCTATTGATCTTAGTAATGGGGACTGGGAACTAGCTCTCCTAAATATTATTTACCCTCATTCATGGTATAATGTCGGAAAAGATAATAATTTATTTGGGTTTGCTGTTCACAATGGAGAACTGGAAGGACGGCATATTCCTCCTGGTTATTATGAAACGATACCGGACATATTAAAAGCTATGACTTTAGTTTCTCATAAAAACAAAAATTGAATTTTCTTATCATAACATTACGAAAAGAGTAATGATAAAGACGGATGAACAATCAAAAGTGGTTCTTCACGGAGGACTAGCTGAGCTCTTAGGATTTGAACCGGGTGTTTACGAAGGAAGTGTCCAAAGTCCTTTCGTAGCGAATCCGAATGGTTTTTTTCCCCGTTATGTATGTATACTGTGATTTAGTTGAACCACAAATCGTAGGTGACGTACAAGCCCCCCTTCTGAAAATTGTAACAGTGGAAGGGAAAGACGGAGAGATTATTGACAAACATTACTCTCGACCTTTTTATTTACCAGTGATTCGCCAACATTTTCAAACGATTGAAATCGAAATAAGGTCTCATTCGGGGAGTCTGGTGCCGTTTGAAAGAGGTAAAGTTTTCATAGTGCTCCACTTTCGTTTGAGACAAATTCTATAAAAAGCTTTACCAAAAGAAAAAATTATTCATTCATAGTGTAAACGTTCTAAAAGCTGTATCAAAAATGCTCATTCCATATGCTTGTTGCACCAAACACTTTGAGGATTATTATGTGGGACAAACTGGAAAAGGTCTGCCGTATTATCAGGGAATGGTTTTACAGAAAGGATACGGAATAGGTGGATTTTTTGCGCGAAACTTTTCCGTAGTGCCATGCCATTTTTAATTAAGGGAGCAAAAAACTGTTGGAAAAGAAGCTCTACGTGCAGGAACGCAAATTGCAAACGATGTGATATCAGGAGAAAATTTTAAATCAGCCTTTAAAACCAGATCTAAAGAAAGTGGAAAAAAATTAGCAAGGAAAGCAGTTCAAAAAGCAGATGAGATGATTGGTCACGGAAAGTTTAAAAGGAAACGCAAATCTCCCAAACGCTTCATTTCGTCTAAAGCCAGGAAAGTGCAAAGACGTGACATTTTCAACTCATAATGGCTTTCCTCTTAAAAGATTCTCCAGAATGCGCCAAATCTGAACTCGATTTATTTACATTACCTCCAACCCAAACAGTTATAGAAAGAGGACAATGGATAGAATTTCATCCCCTTGCGAATGTGTCGGATGGAAGTCCTGTCGAATTCAATGTCGCGGGTAGTGGCGATGACTATTTGGATTTATCTCAAACTCAGTTATACGTCAAAGTTAAAATTTTGAAAAGCAATGGCGGCTCTCTCGGAAAAGATGATAAAGTGGGACCCGTGAATTTGTTTCTGCACTCCCTCTTTTCTCAAGTTGATATAAGCTTAAATGAAAGACTTATTTCCTCCAGCAATAACACGTACCCTTACAGAGCCATCATAGAAAAATTACTTAATCATGGTTTTGATACGAAAACTTCTCAATTATCATCAGAATTATATTTTAAAGATACAGCAGGCCGTATGAATGTTTTTGATACTGCGGATAAGCAACCTAATGAGGGATTCAATAAAAGAGCAGAAGAATTTAAACTTAGTGCTACAGTGGATATGATTGGACGGCTACATCTAGATATGTTTCATCAAGAAAGACTTTTGTTGAACATGGTCGATATGAAAATTAAACTTATCCGCAGCAAACCGGAATTTTGTTTACTGGGGGAGGGGAATTTTAAAGTGTCATTGGAACATGCCTCATTATTTGTACGCAAAGTTCGAGTCAGTCCAGGTGTAATTTTAGGGCATGCAAAAAGTTTAGAAAAAGCGACAGCGAAATATCCTATCAACCGAGTGCTTTGCAAAGTGTATTCCATTCCATCAGGAAATATGAGTTTTGTTCAAGATAGTATTTTTACGGGCCAGATGCCTAAACGCTTAATTGTTGCTTGTGTCGATAATGATGCTTTCAACGGAAACTATAAAAAATCTCCCTTCGAATTTAAGCACAATCATATCAATTTTATTGGCATTTACGTAGATGGGCAACCTATGCCTCACAATCCTCTTCAACCTGATTTCATGAATAAAACCTTTATTCGTGCTTATCAGAATTTATTTGCCAATGCAGAAAACCGAGGATTGTATCTTTCGAGATCAGAGTATCCAGAAGGATACTGCTTATTTCTTTTCGATCTATCACCTGACTTGTGTGATGGTTCTCACTTGAATTTAGTCCGTCATAGTAATTTGAGACTGGAGGTAAAATTCGGTTTCCCTCTGCCAATAACAACATCGTTAATAGTCTATGCAGAATTTGAAAACTTAATAGAAATCAATAAATCTAGAAATATTATCTACGATTTTGGTAACTAATGAATTCTTCAGAAATTCATAGAATACTCTCTCATGACAAATGGACAGCAAAGTACTACACTGGAGTTTTCCCTTCAGATAAAATCCCAGATGTTCATCGTTTCCCAGCAGCTATTGTAGTCAACACTGATAAACACAACGAGAAAGGGACGCACTGGCTGGCTTTCTTCATTGAAAATAATCAGACTTTAGAATTTTTCGATTCTTATGGACTTCCTCCCATGACTTATGGTGATGACATAGCAAAATTTACTAGCAAGTTTAACTGTGTGACATGGAATCAAGTTTCTCTTCAGAGTGTAACATCAAATGTTTGTGGACAATATTGTACTTATTATTTGTTAAAACGATGTCAAGGATTATGTTTGGAATCAATTGTATCTAATCTTTCTGTAAGAAATAGCGATTTTCATGTATTTCATTTTGTGAAGAAAAGGTATGGTGTAAAAATGATTTTTAAGAAATAAAATATTAATTTGCTTGGAATTTTAGTTTTGTCTTTCTTATTAATAAAGTGCAATTTACAATTTTCTTAAATAACTTTTCTTTTACCTTTTAGTTATAGAATAAATTTTAAAGGTTTCATTTAAGCTTAAAAATTATTTTCCATTGTAAATTACTGGAAAAAAAAAAAGATTTATTTTACTCATGACATCTGCACATTTTTTAAGGAAAAAAAACTTACCTTTAAAAAAAAAATCTGGATCATTTTTTTTCAACCTGAAATTAAAAAAATATTTTTTCACACATAAAAACACACCAAATTTAACTAATATCTTTCTTTTTATTTAATATTTTATCCAAGAAGTTGAATACAATTTTCTTTTCTTTTTTACACATTTAGGTTTAGCATACATTGTAAACAGATACTTGTTTTTTACAAACTCCCTGGGAAAATCTACAACATCTAAGAATTTTTTAAACTCTTCATAACCTACAGGCTTGGTCTGTTGATTTCTTAACAAATAATTCACCAAGTCTTGAACATTAGAATTATTAATTTTAACTTGGTTCATGATTAATTCTTTAGATGGAGTCCATGTAATAATATCATTGTGAAGTTTTAAAAAGTCTATAATTCTTTTGGCAATGTTCTTAAATTTCACTGGAGCGGAATTCACAATTTCTTCTTCCATGGTAAACTTTTTCTCTTCTTCTTTGCTAAGCTGAACACTTTCTTGTGTTTCTGATTTTAATTGGGGAAATGTTACATATTTTTGAAGTATTTGAAGGTATTGCTTGGCTTTTTCATCTTCGGATAACTTCTCGTTTAAAATGGTGCTCATTTGCTGATCTAAATCTGATAAATGGTTTTCAGCAAATTCTAATTCTCGATCCGAGGGTACAAGGATAAATTTACGAGCGAACTCCATTAATTAATGTGCTCAGTACAGAAACTGCGGCAGGAATGAGCAACGAAAGAAATCCATCACCTTTTTGTACCAATAGTCTCCGTTTTTTAAATAAGGGTATCTTTTTATCACCTAATGTACGCAAAGTCCGTTTATATACGGCCAGTTTACGTTTCTGTCTTTTAGACAAAGGAACGTTACCCTGTAATACATTTAAAGCACATTCACATACACTTTTAATAACACTATTGGGACATTTTCTTAGAAGAGTTTTTTTTACTTTACTTTTGCCTAGGAGTTTAAGATGTTCCAGGCTCGACATCTGGACCTCAAATGATTGGTACTTTAACAATTCCTTCTCTTTTATAAAGGTCGCATAAGCAACCGCTTTTTGTGCAGATCTTATATTTTAGGACATTTTTTAAATAATCTAATTTTCAAAAAAAAAAAAAAAAAAAAAAAAAAAATTCGGTGTGGCAAATTTTATTCTTTTACAATGTAAAAGAGAGTTTTAAATTTTAAAAAAACCTACAAATTAAATCACTGAAGGAGAAAACTTGTTGAGTGCAACAGCAACTAACGGAGTTCATAAACAAAATGCTTATCTGAAGGGAAAATGCCTGTACGTAACCTTAACATTTCTTGGGTTTCTGGTCTTAAATCTATTAGTAAATAACTGTAAGGGTTTGAAGTTGCATCCTGGAAGACTTCCTGAAAAGCCTTTGTTTTCCCGGGGAACATCTGCCTTGCCAAATGTACGACTTGACATTTATCTCTAGGATTTTTGAACAGTATCATGTAATGACAATTCAAATGAATGGTTCGCATCTCTTTACCCTGCTGAAATAAATTTTGAACGATAAATATTATAGAAAGATTTCGGTGATGGCTTCCTTTCGTAAAAAGTTTACTTAAACGAGTATCGCTCGCTAACTCAGACATTAAATCATCAATGATAATTAGTGCATTTTGCAGGGAATTGAGGTTCGATGGTAGTCCTTCTTCAAACTGCACATTTTTCATTTTACTAAAAATAGGTTGATATGCTCCATAGCAATAAATTATACGCTGAGGCATAGGAGAAAGCAGACTTTCTTCGATGACTCGTTTCACAAAATATGTCTTACCGGATCCTGTCGGACCGCTGATGAGAGATGTGGAAGGGTGTTTCAACACAGGCCACTCCATTTTGTGGGGTACTGATGATCTTCAGAAATGTGTGAAGCTTTATATACTCCTCTCGTTTAAGAAAAGGCTAAGAAAAAAAAAAAAAAAAAGAAAAAGAAAAAAAAAGTCAACCACACAATTTTAAAATTTTACTGCAAAATATAATTTTTTTTTAACATTAATCCAACAATAACCCTGCAATGAAATAAAATAAATGAGATGCATACCACTTAAAATCCATAGGGAACAGTAGTTAGATCTTCTTTTAGGACCCTTTTGTTGTAAACAATTTTGTACAGTTTTGTTTCTGCCTTAGTTAAAACTTTCCTCTTTTTGGCATCTCTCATGATTTTATGTTCATCGTACATGGCGATTGTTGTTTTTCGATCCATCGAGCACACTAAATTCTTAATCTCCAAAAAATTTAAAATCTGTTGATTTTTGAAGTTGAGGGAGAAACCTCGAACTTTACAGCAAGTCATTCCTCGGGCTGTTACATAAGCGTAATTTTTAGGGCCTCCTGAATGGGGGAAAAAATATGCTACAGAAACTACAAGAATAAAAGATCAACCTAATAAAAAATAAAAATAAAAATGAAGCTCACCAGAGACAAATGTAGTAATAGTATCTCCATTGAGTTCATCTGTAAAATCCCCCAAAAAAATTACCAAGAGGCGGATCGTTGGTAAAAATCGCTTGCGTATATAATTGAATCCGTGTCATGATACAACACAGCACGGCCCAACTTCTCCATTTCACTGTAAAGCTTTAACCGTGCCCATGCAGTAGTAAAAGCTGCCAAGAACACATTTGTGGATGTGTCCTGTGGAACAAAATAATGTTTATAGTCCCATTGCACAGCAGCTACTTCAGGAGTCGGAAAATATAAGTCTTTGATCTGGAGGAAAAGTTAGCAGGTTGCAAGATTAATCATTTAAAAATATACATCTTAATTTACATTAGAAAATAAAATTACAAAACTTACATTTTTTGTTGGATCTGCTAATAATTTATTGAAATCAGGTAATGTATGAACATAAGTCAAACGTATCTTGTTCAGGTTCATTCCCCATCTTTAAAGAAAAAAAATATATAGAAAAGAATGAGCATTTTTTTAAGAAATAATAAATGATATAAAGATGTGAAACAACTCTTTCTATTAAAAACATTATAATAATTATTTACCGCCCCCAGAAGCTGTTCAAAGCCAATTTGGCTACTTGCCGTCTTCCAGGATTCTTCTTAATATTAAACATTCGCTGCCAGCGTTTCAATTAATCAATTCGTACAATCAACAACAGTAGTTTTCTAAACAACAACAACTAAGCAACTACTCACAAACTGAGATGTTTTCCTCCTTTTATAAGATTTTAAAATCACGCGCTAGAATTTTCCAGTACTTTCTCGAAATCAAAAGAGATTTTATTTATTTAACGCACGCGCTCTTGTATTTTTAATTTTTCCGGCTTAGCTTTCTTTTAATATTCGTCACGCGCTGCACTGCCGAGAAATAAAACCATTTAATTTATAATTGAACTAACATTAGCTTTTTAAATACCAAATTCGTAACACTTTCCCAAGGACTGCACGTTACAATCCCTGGAAAAGCTAAACTTACAACTGTGGCATAAATGCAACTGAGGCATAAACATTACATTACAATATTAAACAATATAAACAATAAATGAATAACTAACTTAAACAAATCAAATGCTATCAAATAGAAATCAAATACTAAATACAAATCAAATACACATTTCAAAAAGGACCATGGTCTGATACTATTTACAATTATTTACATTACGTACTATGGCCATAGTAATGAGCAACCTGTCGTAAATTCGAAGATTGACGGATCCGAAAACGTCATTCGTGTTCACACTATATTGACATCCGATGACTGTAAAAAAAAAAAAAATGTCTAAAATAAGTTGAAAACGATATAATAATATGAATAATAATCACAATACCGAAGAGCTTCTGAGATTAGCTTATCTTGCGTTTCTTTTCGATAGTATAATTTCAACTTCCCGAGCTCGATCTTTCGGACAAACATTTTTTTGAATGGATATCATGCCATCAGATGCTGAATGCAGCTTATTGTTTTTGAAATCTACCTTAAAAAGTCCAATCCGAATGCATATCTGTAATATCTAATGGTAACTTCCAAACGTGATGTTTACTTTAACTTCCCAGTTAATCTTGTCATCTGAAGGGTAACACAGGATTCCAAATTTTATCTTTAAACTGTTCAGCTAAATCTTTCCTAATGTGGTAACATTAGCTCCTGTGTCAATGATCATATTGCAAGGAACTCCATCGATATTCCATTGATGGACAGTCCGTTATTGTTGCTCACTATAGAGATCTTAAGCTTAAAACAGGGTGGCAACCTCCGTTCCTTGATATGGTCATTAATTTGTTTCCTGCAAAATGTCAATTTTCGTACCCTGGGGTGTTCTGCAATTCTTTCGTAAATTCAGCAAAAATGTCATCGCAAAAAACATTCAGTTTAAGGCATAAACGGCAATAAAGGGGAGGTAAATCGACTAAAATCATCTAAACGAGCATCATATTACTTATATCAAGTAAATAATACACTTTTTCAATAATATCGCAAAATATCGATTTTGCAGTAAAATATTTTTCAACATCCGTAAAAATTTTAATTGGAAAAACATAATGCAAATATATTCGAAAAAAGCGTAGTATATATGACAGTAAAAATTCGAAACTAAGAAAATTGAAAAAATCATATGATAAGATTTAATTTAATCGAAAATAATAAATAAAGAAATGACATATAATATTTGAAGGCCAAGAAAAAAAGCAGTAAGAAATGACAGCTTGATTTCACATGAATCAGAAAATGATCAATTGCCAACTGCATCATCATTCAGATAATGAAATGAATGCATCTGAATGAACATTACAGCTTATTTGCAATGAAGTCCAATAGAACGTGCTTAATTTTAGTAATCTTTTGAGATCAAAGAAAAATCGAGAATTTTCAGTACTTGAAATCATCTCGGAAAGAAAAAATATTTCTTTTGTGTTTCGCTCAAATTCAATGTAGCGTTTTCGTTCGGTCGAGCTTACACAATCGGCTGGCCAGCCGCTGCTTTCTTGTTTTATTTTTAAAAACAAGTTGATATAAGATTGAAATAGAGTATCCGTAAATTGAGAAAAATGGTACACTTCATAAATCTGAAAAAAAAAAAAAAAAGATAGTGGGAATATGAATATAATAATATACAATAAAAATACATGCTGTGACATTTATAACACATTCAATAATACTAATAATTACCCAAAATACTTACCTTTGTTATACAGTAACCTTTTTTCACTGCTAATTTGACTTCTTCAGTCACCCATGTGCCAATGATGGCTCTCTCATCATCTGAGTGCTGGCAAATGCCTTGATACATTAATTCAGCACAAGTCTTGCAGAGGGGAAACATCAGTTTATTTTGTGCTCTGTACGGCAATACGGGGAGGTATAAACCTCGAGGAGGCAGTATTCGGCACTTTATAATACCGAAATAGTTTTCCAAGGCATCAAAATTTTCAGTAATAATATTAGGGTGTCCGACGGGGTACAAACAGTATTTATTGACCTAGGAAAAATTGAAAAAATATGAATAATCGGAAAAGCGATTTTCTTTTTAAATAAGACATGCGCGTTTAATAAGATTATTTTATGCCAAAACACAGAAAAAAAAAGTATTTACCCATGGATACAGTGAAGTGAAATCCACATACTTTGCATCACCCTCATAATACAGCTGAATGGCATTTGTCCGCCCGCCGAAGAAAGCATCTTTAGGATTCAATCGATCCTGAAGCTCGTGACTTAGAAGAAAATATTTTACTTTTTCATCTGTTTTCTTTTTCATCTCAAACTCATGCTCCCACATTTCAATTACATTATACCCTCGATCACGTAGCTGGTAAGTCTTGTCTACCGTTTGTTGTCGCAATGTCGACATGGGTAATTTTGTTATGGGGTGGAGTGCATCTCCGTCAAAACAGGTGGAGCAACCGTGAAAGAAACATCCCTGCGATAGTTAAAAATTTTTTCGTATAATACCAATAAATAAATAAATTAAATAATATATTTATAAATAAATAAATATTGAACTCTTACGTAGTATTGATAAACAGTATTTGTTTCTTTGCAATATCCGTCTACAGATATACCATCCAATCGTCTTTCTCCTTTTCCGTTCAAAGCGTGTTCGATTTCAATGCTCTCTTTTTGGGCAATAAAATCAAGCCAACGAATACAGTCAGGACTATGATTCGTGCGATTGATATAACCTCCTACAGGTATCATTGCGATGGTATTAGGTATTATGTGTCGGGATCTGTAAACCGCCATACACGCTGATGCAATGGTTATGTAACTGAAAATAAAACGGACAAGAAAAGTGTAAATCATATATACATAAAGTATACATGCACGTATACAATACGTTGTTACAAAATGACAAAACCATGTAAAAGAAAAAGGTTTGTAAAATACCAAAAGGGGTCTACTCCTGTAATTTCTAAAAACTGATTTCTAAATTCAACGCAACATCTACGAAGGATATCAACATCTGATCTGAAAACGAAAAGAGTAAATAAATAAATAAAACATGGTACCAAAAAAAAATACACCTAAAAGACGGATCATAATGAAGGATTAGAAATAGATTGTTGATACAAACCGGCAATACGTGAGAATTTCTTCTTGGAAATCAAATATATCCTTCTCGTGTTCTTTATGCCATTCCAAAAAGGAGGTTCGCACCGCACTAGTCATACAATCAGGATTGTAGTACTTAGGCTCAGGTAAAAATCCCACATAATTTTGATTTTCTTTCTTGTTGAAAAGGTGCGGAAAATATCCTTTTTTTAGTTCTGTAAGGCCGAAACAAGCAGGCAGCTTTGAGAGAGCCATCGGCAGGAAATTAAAAGAATCAATAAGTTTTATGTTGAGGGCGGTATGGGTGATTACCATCACTTTAGAGCCATTAGGGATTACTTCAGGTGCCGTACCCTGTTCTAAAAGCCATGCCATTATAAACTGACCGTCAAATCTGTAAAGAAAAAAAAAATTATTATATTTTAAAAAATGTATTATATTTAAAAACAATAGCCCTATAATATATATATATGCAGATTAAAAATAATAAGAATACATTTACCCCTTCATATTGTGTGCAATAACAGTGTAATTTTTGTGCACTGTTGTAAACAGCCAAGAGCAGAATTCATGACATGCTTCGTATCCTTTAAATATTTTCTCTTGGCCATCTTTGTACTGCGCTACAGCAAAGTTTACGATGTGTTCCCCTGATGATTGGTCAGTTTCGAAATCAAAGAAAATTAATTTATCGGATGGACTTTTCGCAGAAATGAGTTGTAAGAAACAATGATGTTCTGACGCTATAACATACTCTTTACACGAAGGGCATTTGATAGTCCCGCAACGATGTAAAATTTTAGGACACTGCCGTCGCATGATAACTTTTGAGCATTGTCTGCACTGATACATCTGTAATTAGGAAAAAAAAAAGTAGAACAAAGATTTTTTAAAAATATATTTAGAAAAAAAAAAAAAAAAAGTTTTAAAAATGTAAGTATTAAAAACTTTTTTTTTCCCCCTAGTTGAGTAATACTTACCCTATCGCATACTGAATGCTCTTGTCTACCTGTGACGGCTTTATGCGCTGCAAAGCAGTCCTCAGATTGACAGAGGCGATCACAATCTTTACATCTTTTAGGCAATGCTGGAACGCATTGAAATCTTAGGCAGACATGGCACATATTGTCACACCTGTGATCTTCTGGACGGTCATATGGCTTTTCACAATTTTCGCAATAGTTTTTCGAACCATAAAAACCGTGTAAATTTGTAATGACATCAAAATGGCCATTGTGTTGCCACAAATTAATGCGACGAGTTCGATATCTTCCTTTATACGAGACCTAGAAATAAACAGTTTATAAATATAATTTCATTTTACATTTTTTTTCAATTTAATTAATTTTTTTTTGTTTAAAATCTTTGGCTTACTTTATTTAAATTTTCACTGCTTATTACTACGATTTGTATATTTAGATGATTTTCAAATGTGCAGATTTCAGTGTATGTACAAGGACCAAGAGGAACTCCAGCACACTTGTGTAATTCTTGAGCTCGTAGCATTAGAACAGATCGTCTCCGATCCCGTAGAGAATTAAGCGCTGACTTGTCTTGCTCAAGATAAGCTAGGGCATATACGATTGCTTTTGCGCAACACAACCCTTCATCATCTGACGGGATGGAAAGGACAGAGCGTTTTTTAAGACGATCTACTTGAATGTTGATTATCTTTGCTCTACCTGCACCGATATCCCTGCGAATCGTGATCACATCTACTAGGAAGCCTGAATCCAGCCGAATTTCATCTTTTGACTGCAGAACTTTCATAATAACCGATAATACGGTCTCCACCGTCATGGAAGATACGGCAATAATTTTCGTAGACATGGGTTTATCCAATCCATCGGCTTGGATACACATTCGTATCCAATCTGTCGGCCTTAGATTTTCTGTTGACCGTTGAATTAATATTTCAAACAGCTGTCTAACAGATTCAGTTACGGCTAGAAGAGGCCTGTTGCGAATATTTTGAGGCAGACGATTCATATCAACACGTGCCTGGAAGGTTATTTCCTCGCCTTGATACTTTCGGTTACGACGCCGTGCCTTCTCTTTGAGTATAATAGCATTTTCCATCTGGAAAGAAAAGAACATAATTCAGTGTAAATGAAAATAAGCACACACGCAAACACACCATAAGCCCTAAAACAGGAGAAAAACTCACATTTACTGAAATGTCATGTTCCACATATGCAGGTCCTTTAGATGGAGCAGAAGGTTGAGTCTAAAAGATGTATAGACATCACAGTGATATGAAAAACATAACATAGAAAAACATAAAAACTAGAAAAAAATAATTCTCATATATATTTATATATATATTAAAAACTGATATTACCTCATATCCCGAGCCTACTTGATAGTAAAGAGGCAAAACCAAAGGATTCTCCAAAAATATCTGCGAAGTTTCACTTAAGAGCTAAAGAAAAGTAACAGTTGTGTTTAAAGAAATTTAGGTTCAGCTTATATAAAAAAAATACAAAAAAAAAAATTAATGACAGGAAAAAAAAAAAAAAAAAAAAAAAAAACTACGTACTTCATCTCCTGAATCACTAAAATAATTTTCAATGCCGTCAATAGGATTTTCGATGAATATTTGAGATGTTTCACTCAGGCACTAAATAAATTAAAAATAGTGAATAGTCTTTTTCTAGGTGGGGCAAAAAACTATACATTGTAAAAATAAGCCACAGAAGGAAATAAATAAAACTAGCTTACCTCATCATCAGAATCTCTTAAAAGCGCATGGAAATCCTCACACTACAAAATAATAGTATTTTTAATCATGTAAGTATTACAAACACGTGGTCAAAGAACAATTGAAAATAATATGGCGATATAAACTGTTTTGAAACGTTAATATTACAAACACGTGTTTCAACAAAACAGGGTAAAATATAATAAAAAAATCTAAGCCGTGTAAATAAAACACATAAATAAAATTTAGCTTACTTGATCATTAGAATCTCTTACAGATACATCGGAATCCTCACACTACAAAAAATTTTAATTGCGTGTCAGTATTACAGGCACGTGGTCAAAGAAAAAAAAAACAAAACACTAAAATAATAAAATTAAACACATAATAACCTTAATACATTTTATATATAAATAAAATAAAAATATGAATACTTACTTGATCAAAAAAGGGTTCCAAAGAACGTTTACTGTTTCTTGAAGCCATTTTCGCAGATACGAAGAGAATTTCTTGTTTTTTCAAAAAGCGTGGTAACAAACTTCTAGAATTTAGCAAGTAATGAATTTCGGAGGCAATCCAGCGGTTGAAACTCGGCTCCGAACTTTTTACTTTGT